AACAAAATGATGTGCATCAAGGTCCTACAATGTCTAATGTATATACCAAGTTTGAACAAAATCCATCTGTAAACAGCCGAAAAATGCTTGATTTTAATGATTTTAGCACAAAAATGACCGCCATTCAGCCATCTTAATTCAGATCGCGAAACAAATTGACGTGCATATGTATAATATCATGTACGATGTATGTGTGAAGTTTGATTGTGATTTGTCCAGGCATTTCTAAGATACAGGTCCGGATGGACGCACACACCGACACACAGAGGTCAAAACATAAGTCCCCGTTTTCGGACTGTGCTTGAACAGGGACTAAAAAGTCAGGAGGAACAACAGTGACATTCAATGTCCGGAACTGTCGCCTGGCACAAAAAAAAAAACATTTAAAAAAAAAAAAAATAGTATAAACAGAAACAAATTTGAAATGAAGATTTTTGAAAAATGATCAATAAATTATTCAATATAGATATGATAGATAATAAGGATTGTACCTTTTCAGATATTTCAGCAGCAAATCTACAGTTTCTAAATTCTTATCGTCCACTAAATCATTTATATATTGCACGAACTGACCGACATCTTCCAGCTCAGGAGCTGTGCACATGAAAAAAACTAAATATTTGATATATTCCAACAAGCATACTGACCAGCATTTTTGTGTGGTGAGATGCTCTGCATGAGGTGTCAGTATTCCACATACAAATGAACACACAAACATCATTTACTAATTAAACACATGCAGTGTCATGCTCAATTAATAATATATACAGCAGTGACTATTGCACACGGTATTCCGAGGTGCCCTGAGAGCAGTGAGCTGATTTTGTAAGGGTCCTGAGTCAAAATGGAATACCCAAAATCAAGTCAAGCTTGGAAAGGTGTACGTTACCTGAAATTTTGAAGTAATATGGAAACAATTACGTAGGTTGATATACAAAAAATTATTCACAAATCATTAATAATCTTTCCTCACCTGGACAGCTTTCAATCCATTCTTTTACCAATGTCTTGACATCACTGAGATCAACCCTACCACAAAGATTTGGTTTCACCTTCTCAACCCCTTGCATCACCTCCTCTTTATCCTTTTCCTCCTCCTCACCAAGACAGTTTTCATCACTCTTCCTTTGCACATCATCAAGTACTAATGCAGGAGAATCTGGGTTACCAGGGTGATCAGGATCCACCATATTGGACGATGATCCAATTAGCATATTTTGAATATTTCGTTGCTTGTTTCGCCAGTCTATTTTCTGTTTTTGAGGACTGCTTTTTATTGATCTTGAAGACCCTTTAGCTCCTCGTCCAGGGCTTGTTTTCTTACTCTTTCCTTTTTTTGGAGATGAAAGCTTCACTGGACTACACTTAATTTTGTCTTGTAACTTGGTTGCCATTTTGGAATTCTTTCCTTTATAAGTATTTTTAAGTTCATTTCTGAGTTCAGGTGGCAAGGCTTCAAGAAAGCTTGGGTCAATCTATAACGAAAAGTGTTTTCAAGTAGGGGTCATAGATAATTTAAACATGTACATGACAAATGTAATCATTTTGTTTAGAAGGGGGGAGGGTTAAAGATTATTTTGATACTGTGCAATGAGAAAGAATACATTTCTGACAAGAAGAAATAAATATATAAATGCACACAGTATGTCTTTTGAATAAAAAACAAGAAACAATTTAATTACGCAAAAGTGACAACAATGTAACCTTTTTTATGTTTTGTTTTTTCAAATTAATTTGTATCGTTGCTGTTTGGTAATGAATGTGACGTATAACCTCACATGCAGCGGCGAATTCAGGTTTTGACAGCCCAAGACTAAAATATCTGCCGTTAGAATTTTGAGGACTTCTTACCACTTTTGGTACTTTTTTGCAAATCTGGCTACCACACAGGCATGGGTGAATGCCTGGAATTGCCACTGACATGCTTTGTGTTGATTATTTGTGCCTTCATCAAATATTATTAATTTAAGTTCAAATGAATCTTGTTTCCACATATTTTTCACACATGCAATGTTTAATCAGTTTTGATAGGGGTGGTGGTGTGGGTATGTTGAACAAAGAAATTATGTTGAATATGCACATGTTTAATCATCTGCCTTTTAATGTAAAAATAAAATATCCTCACTTTGTTTTCAAATTTTGTTAATGACAATTTGGATTTAAACAGACATATTCAAGGATACCTGGGAAAAAGATGGCACAACATCATGTGTTGGTTGTTTCTCTACTCTACTTGGCCCTGCCTCTAAGACATCTTTCAACATCTGCATATTCTCATTTTGGATTTGTTTAGTGGTTTGTAGCATGTTTCCTCCACTATATGTTTGTTGTTTCTCTCCCAGCTCACTCAATAGAAGGTCTTTGACTACGTCAGCTGGTAACGCTTGCAGTACGCTTATATCCCACTTGCTAGATGCCACTTCTAAATTATTCTGATGCCGTTTTCTGCAAACAAAAAACATGAATATTCTAATCAAGACAAATGTAACAGTAAAATCTGTATTAGACGCTGCATACCTAAGGCCAAAAAAAAGAAAAAAAATTGTTTTGTTGCCCTCAGCAACTGACCAAAAAATATGAAATATCGGGTCGCATTTTTTTTCCCATATACCCTGGCTATTTATGATACCCTTAGTTTTCACAAGTTTTGAAAAAAAAAAAAAAAAAATCCGACCTACTGACCCAATTTTTCAAATTTCTGACTTGAGGGCAACATAAGTTGTTGTTTTTTTTGGCCTAACAAAAGTCGCATCCATTCTTTTTTAACAATTGAAAACCAAAAATTCACCATTTCTCATATGTGTAGATGCTCTGATAGAAGCTGTATCCCCTCTATTGCATTGTAACATTTTATTATAAACCGCGGCGTCTAATACAAATTTTACAGTACTACCGATAAAAGATTTACAAAATTGGAGCTTTTATTGAAATCACTACTAAACAAGTCATTGTCAATGACACGTCCCCGTTCCGTTCATATATGAGTGACATATACATTCAAAGCAGATCATGACCGAAATGCACCTGCATATGTACAACACATTGTGCTAAATCTGAACAAAATCCATCCATGCATGACTGAGATCCGGTTCTGGAATTGTGAAAATACGTGATTTTGATGCATTTTCGGCCTTAAAATGGCCATCATTCCGCTATTGTTAAGCAGATCATGAAACAAATGCACATATCTATTTGTGACATGATGTACCATGTGTGTGTGAAGTTTGAACTTGATCAATCCAGACATGTCTTGGATACGGATCCAGAACTGAATTCTTTAACAAAATGGCCGCCAGTCAGCCATTTCGAACTTGATCCGAAAAAAAAAAAGACGTGCATCAAGGTCCTATTATGTTTAATGTATGTACCCAATTTGAACAAAATCGATCCATGCATAACTGAGATACGGGTCCGGAATGGTGAAAATGTGCGATTTCAATGCATTTTCGGCCTTAAAGCGGCCCCCATTTGGCTATCGTTAATGAGATCATGAAACAATGCACATACATATTTGTGACATGATGTACCTTGTGTGTGTGAAGTTTGAACTTGATCAATCCAGA